TATTTAAAAAGAAATTAAGTTTGCTTTGACAGTAAATTTGTTTCAACCATCAACGTTATTCACAAGCAAGCAGCATCTCGCCAATTCCAACAACCACAAACGATGGTTTGGCTAACTATTTCATCATTTCCACAGCAAAACCGGTGGTTACTAAGCACAACATGCAGGACTCTACGATCTTTGAGTCGCTAGCCAAGATCTACGAAGTTCGGTGCATCGGAGAGCCCAAACCAGTGGCTACATGGTAAAGGATAGTGTAGACTTGAAAGGATTAATAACAAGAACATAATTTTGTATCATTTTAGTGTTTATCTAGTTGAAACTTTACGTATATTGTTTACCATAAAAACACACTGAAATCTTTGATATGAAATTCACAAACTCTTCATGCAGGTATAAGGACGGCGAGGAAGTCGTGAACGGCGAAGGCATCAAAGTTTCTGAGGAGGGAGAAATTTACAAATTAACGGTACCGTACACTCTCATCCCCAAAGACGAGGGTGTTTACAAGATTCACCTGGAAAACAGGCTCGGCGAGCAGGACCTCGAGTGCAACCTAAAACTGAACCGTAAGATTTTTTTTTCAAAAAAGTAATAACAGTATCGTTGAAAATAATTTTTGTTTTTAAAAGAAAAAGGTATTTGTTGTAGCGGTGGAGCAGCTGCGCAAGCCCATCCTAAAGAAGGGGCTCAAAGACACGACCGGCAAGAAGGGCGAGAAGGCCGTGCTCACGGCCGTCATCACGGGTGACCCGGTGCCGGACATCAAGTGGTGGAAGGACGGTGAGCAGCTGCTGCCGGACAAGGACCCCAACGTCATCATCAACTGCGACACCAAGTTCATCCAGGACGACCTCAAGGAGTGCACGTACTCGGTGACCATCCCCAGCGCGCGCCACAAGGACACCGGCCAGTACTCGCTCAAGGCCACCAACAAGTTCGGCTCCGTGGAGAGCAGTGTGAGTATATTCCGCTGGAAAGAGATCAAAGGAGATACCTTTGAGGAAACGATTTGAAATAATGGATTATCCAGAAAGTACGTTTGTCATATGCCGTTACAAACCTTGTACCCTCTGGTGCCTCGCATGGCGCCTGGTAGGTAGGCAAAATCGTTCCTGCAGTGCATGCGTGTACTGCGGGCTGGCCTACCCGGAGTCTCGCAGGCGCCGAGCTTCCGTACTTGGACGAACAGGTCTGAGATAAACTTGCGCACTTTCTGGACGATCCCTCACTTGTCGTATTTTTGGCAGGCGCTGCTCAACATCATTCTCCGTCCAGAGATCGAGGGCATGAAGGACAAGACCGGAATCCCGACCACCATCACGCAGTTCGAGGTCGTCATCCACTCCAACCCGGCCGCCGACGTCAAGTGGTACGTTGTGTTCGCACGAGTGCGACATGCCTGCAGCACACGCGCCGGTGTACGACCTTGTGCTCCTCTTCTTACAGGCTCAAGGACGACAAGCCCATCGTGGCTGACGACCACTTCGAGGTGTTTGAGGACCGCGAGAACGAGAAGTTCACCCTCCGCGTCAACGACACGGCCACGGACGACCACGGCGTGTACACGGTCACGGCCAGGAACTCGCAGGGCGAGGCCAGCAAGAGCGCGCAGCTCAGCCTGCACAGTGAGTTGTTCAAAACCACGACCTGTCTTTTCCCCACCTCGTTCGTCCAGTGCTATATGTTAAAATACCCCGTGTGCCCCTTCAAGCCGAGAAGCCGAGCTTCCTCAAGGACCTCGTCGACCGCATCATCAAGGACGACAGCCCCGTCGAGTTTAAGGTGCGCGTCAACGGCGACCCCAAGCCCAAGATCACGTGGCTCAAGGACGACCTCGAGGTCGTGGTGGACGACCGCGTGACGGTGGACACGTCCATCGAGGGCGTGGTGACGAGCGTGCTGGCCATCAGCAACGTGTGGAAGGAGGACGTGGCGCGCTACACGTGCGTCGCGACCAACATGGTGGGCGAGGCGCGCACCTCGGCGCAGCTCAACATGGACCAGGCGCCGCCCATGGTCACCATCCCGCTCGACAAGTGCATCGAGGTGGACGAGGGCGAGCCGCTCGAGATCAAGGGCAAGATCGACGGCAGCCCCGTGCCGAGCGCCAAGTGGTTCAAGGACAGCGTCGAGATCGACCCCAAGGACCCGCACGTCAAGATGACGCTGCTGCCCGACGGCACGGTCAAGCTCAACATCGACGAGGTGAAGCACAACGACGGCGGCGCCTACAAGGTGGTGGCATACAACAAAAACGGCGAGATGGGCTCCATGTGCGCCGTGGCCGTGAAGCCCAAGCCGCGCTCGCCCGAGTTCGCCCAGCCGCTGGAGAACGTGACGGTGCAGGCCGGGCAGCCGCTCAAGCTGGAGGCCCTCGTCACCGCCTTCCCGGTGCCGGAGGTCAAGTGGTAAGTACACGAGTTCTCTGGAAGTCACGTAAGGAGAATGTTTCTTTCCCTCTGACCTCTGACACTCACGATTGTCTCAGGTTCAAGGACGGCCACGCCATCCGCCCGTCCAAGGAGGTCAACTTCATCAACGACCCCGTCGGCCACGTCGGCCTCCTGATCGACGCGGCCCGACCCGAGGACGCGGGCGTGTACACGGTCAAGGTGGCCAACAAGCTGGGCGCCATCGAGGGCAAGGCGGAGGCCGCGGTGCAGGAGCGCGAGCGCAGGCCCATGTTCCACGCGCAGCTGCTGCCGCAGAAGGTGGTCGAGGGCTTCCCCGTCCGCATGGAGGTCAAGGTCGTCGGCCACCCGCCGCCGGTGCTTACCTGGTGAGTACGTGCCGTTTGTTTGCAACGGAACGTTAAGAGTAAACTAAAGCGACGACGAAGACTGCGCTTGGGCTGTCGTCGGTGGGAGCGCCTGCAGCGTAGGCAACATCTGCGTTGCAACACACCGGTGCGCGCGTGTTGCCTAACTGGCAGGCGCTTACCGGCCGACAGTCTGTCAGTGAGCTCCGTCAAGCAGGCACCGCCCAGTTTCGACCAAAATTTGTACTTAGTTCAACAAATTGTACTCAATTTGTACTCTTACCGGGCTACCATGGTTTTAGAATGTGTCACCGATTTTGTCTTTTGTCTCGAAACTAAAAGGGATTTCTGAAGCATGACTTTAGGGGAGAGTGGGGAAGGTTGAGGAACGGGGAGGTTTGAGGAACTTCTTACAAATTTTGATTGCGGGCACTGACAGCGCCGTCCGTTGAGTACTAAATTGTCCTAATGTGCCTTCATTCAAAAACGCTCATACGTAAGAGCTGCGAGTAAACTGGTGCGTTTTTTAATCTACGAATGTCAAAATAGGCAAGTTGGCACCCAAAACGGGAGTTTTTTCACCTTATAAATTATGTAATTTCGATATTAAGGAGCGCCGCTGATGCGATGGGGCCTTTTGTGGAAGAGTAGACATGCTTCCTGCTTATTTTGCCGTGCCGGACGGTATGATACAACGCCCCGTAATTTTTTTAGGGATTATTTGAATGAATCAATGCAGAACGGGGTAGTTTGAGGAAGCCCTGCACGGGGTGGATTGAGGATAGGCCAGCCCATGCTATACGGTGTGGCCGATAGGATTGCCCCTCTGGAAGGCCATATTTTAGGCGGATTGAGGAACGTTTTGTTTTTTTTTGCTCTAAATTCGAAACTATTTGAGGTACAGATGTGCAATTTTGACTCAGTGAAGGGAAGCGGGCAATGCCTTGACGCTGTAAAGCACGATACTATGCGATTCATTGACGAAGAGCAAAAGGCCATTCCTCAAACTACCCCACGGCGTTCCTCATACCTCTCCGTGCACGGGGTAGCTTGAGGAATGCGGGGTGGTATGAGGAATTGGCTATATCTCCTCACAAACACAACGCATTGGAACGCGCTTTACACACTGAGGTTGATACATACTAATGCCACCTTCATTTTGTCAAAATGTCAGGTTTGTATAGTTCAGATTTCCTCAAGAGTTCCTCAAACCTCCCCGCTCTCCCCTACTCCAAATCTAGGCTCTGTAGCTCAAACGGTTTAGGAGACATAAATTTCTGAAATGTTGAGGCCTAAATAGTGTATTTAAGATGTGGTATAGATTAAAACTCACAAAAACACATATGGCAAAAAGTTGTATTTTTGTTTACTACCCTTTGATTAAAGATATCAACAAAAAAATAGCAGAATGCTGTAACTCTCATAACAAAATTTGATGATCTTCAAATGTCACCAAACTTGGTTTGGCAATTTCCTCAAAGGTCCCTCGACATTCTCTAATTTGTGTAAAAAAGAATACTCAAATTATTATTATTATTTACTAGATATCTTTGTACTACATTATTGGTAGCTCTGTTCTGACGTTCGCTTACAACAGGCCTCCAAGACTATGTTTTGGCGCCATGACGAACGGATACCCTCTCTGCCAGTAAATTTGTTGCCCTCCTTATGGACTTGGAATCGTGCCCCATTTTGGCAAATTTTGGACTCCTCCCCCCCCCCCCTTTCATCCCTCCCTGTCCGATTTTTAGGCATACGTTTTGTCATGCCTGTGTATATTTACTTTTGAGGATTTTAACGAGAACTGCATGTTTGTTTAGGGGACGAGGCTAGAGGCAAGGCCAGCCAATTATATCGACAATAGTTTTCAGTGTAGTGTACAGTGCAGTGTTTATTGAACTGATTTTAAGGTTTTCGCCGCGTGTATATACAACAATATTTTATTTCGGTTGGCAGAAAAAATTCAAGTAGGAAAGTAAACACTGCAAAAATGTTACCGGCAATATACACCCCCAAGACAGGCATTACATTAA